AGGGAATACGTAAAATAAAAAAAATAGCCTTTTCTGGACCATATGCTTCTTTTCCCTTCACTCCTGATTTACAAAGAATAGCCATTGGGCTAACCTTGCAAACCAATCTCATGGCGCACAACCAACAATCAAACAAAATAAAAGCTTAGCCAAATGATTATAAGATCAGCTTCCAATCAGCAATATCACCAATTAACATAAAATTATACACGAACCTTTACCATGATGAATCACATAGACTACAACTTTAGTCAGTTAAAAAGAGAAGAAATCAATAGCACTAGATCAAACGAATAGGACTTAAAACAACAGTCATTGCTCATGAACTAATGAAAATACATATGATTCAGCTTCTTATAGATGTAACTTCAGTCGATTCGATCATAGAAATTTAAACATGCTTTATCAAATTTAGAATCAACTGACCATCACGTTACATGTGGATGACAGAAAACATAAAAATAGCCTCGAAACACCATTCATCTCATGAATCTAGTCATTTTAATGAAAGAAAAGAATTACAAGTTGATGTGTGTGTACCTAATTATGCAGAAGTAATACAGAACTACTAGCTACAAGCAGCAACAGAATAACGTAGAGAAATATGATCTTCAGGAGCTACAGCTCAGACCAGCAGAATGAGTACAGCAGCGCAAACAACCAGTTTTCAACTCAAACAGCCATAGAAAACAAAATATAGGCAGCAACAGAAAACCAATAACATAAAAGCTCCAAACTCAACCCAGAAATCCAGAAATTATTTAAAATTAGTATGAGATGAGAGTAGAAATGAAAAATAAAGAGTGAATTATGTGTGTTCTTTGGATCATAGACATAAGCATATCAAATTCCAGAACAACGATTTACTAAGCATTTAACGTTGGATGAGAATCCAGCATAAAGACTAAGACCATAACATATTTATACACTACATGAAAACTTATGTACCAATTTCGGGTCTAGATCTACTAATAACAGATAGAATATGATACTGGTTAGCAAGAAAAAAAATTAAACAACTTGACAAAACACAATAAATAATAGCTGAAAATGACTGATTCCATTAATTTCAAAGCACACATATCTTCATATCCAATTTGTAGCCCAAGGTTCAAAAGGAGTATACCTAGACAGCAAAAGCAACAAAATAGAAAATAAATCTCTAAAATTGGAATGAAGCAACAACAGTCAGAAGAACAGCAGCAGAAAATAGCTTCAAATTTTGGTCCAAAATCAGCTTTGAGGAAGACAGAACTTGTATAAAGATGTAGCAGAAAACAGAAGCAAATTTGAAAACTCTTTCTATGATTTTGATTTCTGGTATTTTCAAACCTGAAACCTGAACTTTCTAGCTACTTTCTCTTTTTCTGTCTGAACCCGTATGCTTTTGAGAGTGAATGTGCAGAAAAAAAATTATCCTCCTCTGTAAAATGAGAGGAGGAGTCCCTTTATAGAATATGAGCATGTGCTATATGTGAGGGATAGGGAGTGTGAGAATATTCTGCCAGCTCCCTAAAAATCAGGAAATTATTTTGCAACAGAAAAATGGACAGTTGTCCCTTTCTAGAGTTTTCCCTCATTTTTCACCCTTTTAATTTCTGAAAATTCACTCTTTTAAACCCCCAATTTGACCTAGTTCTTTCATTTTATTGCACTTTAATCCTTTTCTAGAAGCTTCTTCTTAGGTCCGGACCAAATTCCATGGCTAAGTGGCCCAAGACAGGCCCAGTCCAGCTTCAATAAGGAAAAACCCACAACAAATGCCATATTTTGAATTCAAATTATAATCAGAGATTTTACTGAATACTTAACTTTTAATTAATCTAAATCAGTTTATTAGTTAAACTAATTGAGCATGCAATTAACAGCGAAGTTTAATTAACCAACTGAAAAAGAAAAGAAAGGGAGAAAGAAAAAACAGAGCAAGAACAAATGAGGAAAAAGAATACTAATTTAAACCCTAAAGAAATGAATGAACGAAACAAACCAACGAGCAACGGGAGTGATGAACTCTAGCCGCGAACGATGAATAGACCGGACTCCAGTAACTTCGAAATGGGTCGAAACTAACCTAAAACGATTGCTCTCATCAAGAGCACTCGATTCATGTGAGTCTCGAACCAAAACGAACGAAAATACCAAAGCAATTTGAAACAGGCCGGACTAGGGTTTTCCTGAAATTTTGGATCTAAAATTCGCTAATTTTGGTGGGGTTTCTGGTGAAATTGAACGGAGATATGAGATGAGGAGAATGTGATAGTTGTCTGGTGAAGTTTTGGACGTGTTTGGAGGCGAGCCGCCGGCGATGATTTCTAATGTGGCTAGGGTTTTGAGGGAGTGAGAGATGAGAGATGAGAGATGGAGGGGGAGGGTCAGTTTCTAGGGTTTGGGGGAGGGGTCTGTTTGGACAGATTTAAGGGAAAGGGATGGAGAGTTCGGCACCATTAGATGATGAGGCGATCGATGACTGAGATTAAACATTAATAAACGTTGTCGTTTAGTGCTTAAACGGGGTCGTTTGGGTTAGTAACGGGGCTGGGCTAGGTAAATGGGAGTTGGGCCTGGCAGATGGGAGGGGATTTTGGGCCATTGAGAGGCTTTTGGCCCAGTTTGAGATGAAGCTCTTTCTATTTTCTTTCCTTTCTTTTTTTTGATTTTAAATCCTAATAAAATTAATTAAAAACCTAAATTAAGTCCTACATCAATCTAATTTATAGAATTGAATTAATTATCTATTTCTAATATTAAAATAATTAATTAACTTAAACTAATTAAAGAAAAATACTAATTTTAAAACTAAAAGCGAAATATGTAAAAATGACCATTTTTTTATTTTTGTTTAATAATGCAATTAACTCATATAATTAAATCCTAAATATAATTAATACCTAAAATGCTATGCAATGAATACTTTAGACATTTTTGGTATTTTTTCATAATTTTAAATATGCAACTAAATGCAAACAAAAATTAACAAGAAATTCCTAAAAATTCTATAAGAATTAAAACAATTAGAAAACCCTATTTTTTGTGGATTTTGTAGGAATATTTTTTAGTCGGGAAAAAATCACGTGCTCACATGGATTGGTATGTCGACTTGTAAAATCTCTCTATTGTCTGAAACAAGCAAGCACACAATGGAACTTAAAGCTGACAGAGGCTTTATTGCAGGCTGAGTTCAAACAAAGCAACCTAGATCACTCATTATTCATTAAGAGGAATGGAGCAGATATAGTGGTAATACTAATATATGTAGATGACATGTTGGTTACAGGAAACAACTTGCAGTTGATTGAAGCCACCAAAGCCTTCTTACAGTAGGCCTTCAAGATTAAAGACTTAAGTGAATTGAAGTTTTTTCTTGGTATGGAGTTCAGCAAGTCCAACAAGGGTATTTTGATCAATCAAAGAAAATATGCACTAGAAATAATATCATATTTGGGATTAAGTGAAGGAAAACCAGCCTGGACTCCATTAGAGACAAATGTCAAGCTGACAGTTCTAGAACTGGACCAGTTAATGGGCACAACAGGAGATCAAATGTTAAAAGATGCAGGCCAATATCAAAAGCTAATTGGAAAGCTATTATACCTGACTATGTCCAGACCAGACATTGCATTCTCAGTACAAACTCTTAGCCAATTCATGCAACAACCAAAGAAGTCTCATTGGGATGCAGCTATAAGAGTGGTAAAGCACATCAAAGGGGAACCAGGACTAGGGATCTTATTGAGCAGTCAAAGTTCAAATGAGATCAATATTTTTTTCCATGCTGATTGGGCCTCATGTCCTAACACTAGGAAGTCAGTGTCAGGATATCTAATTAAGTATGGAGAGTCTCTAGTTTCATGGAAATCCAAGAAACAAAACACTGTCTCTAAAAGCTCAGCTGAAGCTGAATACAGAAGCATGGCCAATGCAGTCTCAGAAGTTGTTTGGCTGACAGCATTGCTGAAGGAATTGGGAACAGAAGTGAAACTACCAGTACATGTGCATAGTGATAGCAGGGTTGCTATGCAAATAGCAACAAATCCAATGTTTTATGAAAGAACAAAACATATAGAGATCTACTATTATTTTATTAGACAAAATCTACAGAAAGGACTGGTGAAGACTCAGTATATTCCTTTAAAGGAGCAGCTAGCAGATGTTCTAACTAAAAGATTTGGAAGACCACAACATGAGTATCTAGTCGGCAAGCTGGGAGTGCTCAATGTCTTTGCACCCACCAGTTTGATGGGGAGTGATGAATTAGGAATTACATGAGTGTTAGTGTACAACAGTAGGATATTATTATATCAACCTGTTAATAGTATGTATGTGTACACGTGGGAGTTAGTTAGGAAGTTAGTGGAATAAGTTGTCTATATGTAGGTGGTTAGCTCAATGTAACACTTTACTTTCTTTCTCTTTTCCTGAAATACAGAGTTCAGCTCCTTCTCTTCTCTCTCAACTCTGTTATGGCATTATCAAATTAGGGATTTCTTTGTTGATTATCACAATTTCTTCAGTTAGCAGGCACCACATACAAAGCAGTAGTCGGAAAAGTTTATTAAGAAAATTATATATTTATACACTACAGGAAATATGATCTACGATGACATTTTATAAATGTCATAGTAAGTTACATAAATGTCACAAAATCGCTTTCCGACATTTATTTGACACTTAGTCCAAAGTCGGAAATTTCAGTGTCGGAAATTTTCAGACATTTATTTTAATGTCGGAAAAAGATTTACCATATTTATTTATTGACTTTTATGAAAATGTCACTTTAAAATTTGTGACATTTCCCATAATGTCGATAAGCTAATACTGGTTTCTAACTTATATTTAGAAGTGTCGGGAAATTCTTGAGCTATTAGCGACACTTGTACAATGCATATTGCTAATGTCAAAATTACTCATTGACATTTGAGAGGACAATTATAATATAAATATAAAACTAATATTATACGTTGTTATACATGAAAGTATAAACACCAAATTTCTAAAATAAATACTTATAAATGTCAATAAATATATATAATTTGAACTGTAATAAAATGAGTTAACAAAAAATCTCCGTAACTAATTACAAGAATGTATTTGTGAATAGCAGCACATCCTTACAATCAAACAATGGTAGAAAGAAACTATTAGGCTGGATACAAGCAAATTGTAGCAAATTCTGCAACAGATTGTTTCACTTCCTCAACTCTTTCTTCCACTTTTTCTGCTACATCCCTTCAGCTCCAATTTCCTTGCACTTCCCCCCATTTGACACTTTATTGAATTGAAACAACAAGGTTGTAGTCAACCTATGTTTTCATAAACTAGGAAATAAATTAGCAAGTGATTGAAAGTCAAAAGAAGATCGCATAATCTACATGGAAGAACGATTTAATAAAATGAATTTATATAGTGCAGCGATTGTCACGAGTATCCTTATAAGATTACTAATTGAAGTATTCCACAAGCTATTTGCCACCAACGAACAAATTCCCTTAGTAAAAACACATAATTTTAAGAAAGAAAGATGTCATATGCCCATCAAATTTAAAAGGACCTTACCATAAGTTGCCACACTCTGGACTTTCTCACTGCAACTCCATATCATACACACAAAGGTCAGTATATGTGTGCTACCTTATTCTTCACCTAATCAACCAGCATAGCCATCGGTACATTTCAACCTAGTAAATTCTAAAGATATTAAACCGATTGCATAATTGCCGTAGGGACAAAAATAATTAGCAAAGTAGATAGCACCCTATATGTAGATATAGCAGACTTATCATTATAGCATTTCTCCTTTGAAAGCCAAGAGTTAATTACCATACTGTACTAACTAAACAAGCCCGTAGTATATAAAGCTAATGATACATATGGATGTGATGTTTACTTACTAGCATTCTCCTTCTGTGCAAGATAATATTTTCATGACATCTGATGACTGCTTAATATGATCATGCAACTAACTAGTTTATTAAGTGTACAAGAATAAATACCTGGTAACATTAAGCCCCAAAGCTAGCACATCTCTAAGTTGAGCTCTTTGTAGTGCAACGCGAACCCAAAGAGAAGCATAAGACATTTAAGGGACGCAAAAAATCTTAACATCATATCTTGACAATTTAACTTAAAGGAAGTCTTAGAGAATTTGAAAAATCCTTTGTTGCTGACTTGCACATCATTGAATCAATTAAGAATTGAGGAAAACTCATAAATTTAGTTCATATTTTGAAATAAATAAACAATAGGGAAGATCATAGTGTTTAAGATGCTCTATCAGGCATTTTGTCAAACAGCCGTGGGGCATAAATCTGTGAATGTAATATCACCATTAGCATATTGTGTAATAATACCCCACACAACTTCCATTCAAACAAACATATCTCCAAATCACCACACGATCACAACCACAAAATAAAATCAGAACATAGATTAAACTTCAAAACCCTAAACTCCCAATTCCTCTGCTGTAAATACATTGAACACAGGCAAATGCAATAAATATGATTGAATTCCTCTGAGAAATCAAAACACTCACAAGAAATAAGGAAGAATTCGAATCCAATCAAGAAATAAAGAAAAATGCTAACCTAGAGTTATTCCAATGCGCAGTAGACAAAGAGAAGGAAATAGTGAATTGAGCAAGAAGAGAATACATTTCATACTGCTATTCCTGAAGGATTTTGAGATTCATGGTTGGGGTGTAAGGATTCGGACGGGATAGAGAAACTGGAAAGGGGAAAAATGAACTTCAATTGTTAGGGTTTTTTTAGAGATTTGAGAGGTAGATTTGGGAAAAAAAATTCTCTTACTTTTTTGAAACTAGTATTTTTTTTGACATTTGCTGTACATAATTACATATCACTAATTAAATGTCATTTTATTCTTAACTATGTGACATTTCTATCAAATGTCACAATATTTCTGTCAATTGTCATCAAACGTTAGTATTTTTGCCACATTTTGTTAACAAATGTCACGAAATGAACCTTCTCCCTATATTTATTATAAATGTCACTAATTAAATGTCGTCGTAGCTCATATTTCCTGTAATGATACTTTATTCACATGTCATCACAATTACGTAACATAACGGGGAAATTACTGATAATTGATCATTATACATACGAACAAGAGAAAAAATTGATGAGGAAAAATGAAAATTGAAAAGTTCCCCTCACTTGAAAGGAAAAAGAAGTAAAAGAAAAAATGACACTATAATATTAGACGGCTGTCTATGACTATTTATGTTTAACTTTGCATTTGTAACCAATGAACTAATGAAGTACGTGTTGAGGTTTTATTTTTAAGATGTAATATTCTTAAAATGAGGGTGAATGGAAAATGGAGGAAAAATGAAATTTTGAGTAAAATTTTAAGTTTCCCCCTCTTAACAATTTGAGGAAAATTTTAAGTTTCCTCAAAATTTGAGGAAAATTTTGAGGAAAATGAAAGTACGTGTCCGGGATTGATTTCAAACGCTGGCAGCAGAAGATGTTCTTCTACTTAACTACGTTATGTCTA